AGGGGTCTGTGTGCCCCCTATAGGGATGTGTGCTACTGTGTGTACCCCATAGGGCTGTGTGTACCCCATAGGGTGTACCCCATAGGGGTCTGTGTGTACCCCATAGGGACACGTGTACCCCATAGGGGTCTGTGTGCCTGTTCCCTATAGGGCTGTGTGTACCCCATAGGGACGCGTGTACCCCATAGGGATGTGTGTGCCCCATAGGGGTCTGTGTGTACCCCATAGGGGTCTATGTGCCTGTTCCCTATAGGGCTGTGTGTACCCCATAGGGGTCTGTGTGTGTTCCCTATAGGGATGTGTGTGCCCCATAGGGGTCTGTGTGTGCCCCCCATAGGGGTCTAGGGCTGTGTGTGCCCCATAGGGGTCTGTGTGTACCCCATAGGGGTCTATGTGCTTGTTCCCTATAGGGCTGTGTGTACCCCATAGGGAAGAGTGGGAATCCCGGGATGCTGACAGCAATGGGGTGGTTATGGGGGGGCTCTGTTCCCTTTGCAGGGGCCGAAGCCGTACTTGTGGGGCACGGGGACCCCGAGCTCCCCCCCCCCCCCCCCCCCCGCCCCAGAGCTGGGGGTCGCGATGCAGGAGAACTACGAGAACGTCATTTCCTTGGGTGAGGAATGGGGGGGATCCCTTGGGATTGGGGGGGCGGGGGGGGAATTGGGTCCCTATGGGGGGGTTGGGTACCGCGAGCATCCCATTGTTATCCCACTGTTATCCCATTGATAGCCCATTGTTATCCCATTGGCATCCCATTGATAGCCCATTGTTATCCCATTGGCATCCCATTGTTATCCCATTGATAGCCCATTGTTATCCCATTGGCATCCCATTGTTATCCCATTGATATCCCATTGTTATCCCGTTGATATCCCATTGATATCCCGTTGTTATCCCATTGATATCCCGTTGTTATCCCATTGTTATCCCATTGATATCCCGTTGTTATCCCGTTGATATCCCATTGATATCCCATTGATATCCCGTTGTTATCCCGTTGTTATCCCATTGTTATCCCATTGATATCCCGTTGTTATCCCATTGTTATCCCATTGATATCCCGTTGTTATCCCATTGATATCCCGTTGTTATCCCATTGTTATCCCATTGATATCCCATTGTTATCCTATTGATATCCCATTCACATCCCATTGTTATCCCATTGATATCCCATTGGCATCCCATTGTTATCCCATTCACATCCCATTGTTATCCCGTTGATATCCCATTGTTATCCCATTGATATCCCATTGATATCCCATTGTTATCCCATTGATATCCCATTGGCATCCCATTCACATCCCATTGTTATCCCATTGATACCCCATTGTTATCCCATTCACATCCCATTGTTATCCCATTGTTATCCCATTGGTTTCCTATTGGCATCCCATTGGCATCCCATTGGCATCCCATTGGCATCCCATTGGCATCCCATTGGCATCCCATTGGCATCCCATTGCCATCCCATTGGCATCCCATTGGCATCCCATTGGTATCCCATTGGCATCCCATTGCCATCCCATTGGAATCCCATTGCCATCCCATTGGAATCCCATTGCCATCCCACCGGAAGCCCTTGTTGGCCCAAACACGGAGGATTTCACCCCAAAACGGGTCGGGAATGGCGGCTTTGGGATCTAGGGAAGCATTGAGCACCAGCGTCCCCTTCTCCCGCAGCCGAAGAGATCGCCATCAGCTGGCCCCGGATCACGGCCTTCGCTGAATCCCATCGGAGACGGGGCTTGGTGGCGGGTGAGTCCGGGAATTCCGGGGGGAAACACCCCAAATTTGGGGGAATTCCGTGGGTTTTGGGGGGAACATCCCAAATTTTGGGGGAATTCCGTGGGTTTTGGGGGGAACATCCCAAATTTGGGGGAATTCCGTGGGTTTTGGGGGAGAACATCCCAAATTTGGGGGAATTCCGTGGGGTTGATGGAGAACATCCCAAATTTGGGGGAATTCCGTGGGATTGATGGAGAACATCCCAAATTTGGGGGAATTTTGTGGGTTTTGGGGGAGAACATCCCAAATTTGGGGGAATTCCGTGGGTTTGGGGGGGGAACATCCCAAATTTGGGGGAATTCCGTGGGTTTTGGGGGAGAACATCCCAAATTTTGGGGGAATTCCGTGGGTTTTGGGGGGAACATCCCAAATTTGGGGGAATTCCGTGGGGTTGATGGAGAACATCCCAAATTTGGGGGAATTTTGTGGGGTTGATGGAGAACATCCCAAATTTGGGGGAATTCCGTGGGGTTGATGGAGAAGATCCCAAATTTGGGGGAATTCCGTGGGATTGATGGAGAAAATCCCAAATTTGGGGGAATTCCGTGGGGTTGATGGAGAAAATCCCAAATTTGGGGGAATTTTGTGGGGTTGACGGAGAACATCCCAAATTTGGGGGAATTCCGTGGGGTTGATGGAGAACATCCCAAATTTGGGGGGAATTCCGTGGGGTTGATGGAGAACATCCCAAATTTGGGGGGAATTCCGTGGGGTTGATGGAGAACATCCCAAATTTGGGGGAATTCCATGGGTTTTGGGGGGAACATCCCAAATTTGGGGGGAATTCCGTGGGGTTGATGGAGAACATCCCAAATTTGGGGGAATTTTGTGGGGTTGATGGAGAAAATCCCAAATTTGGGGGAATTTTGTGGGGTTGATGGAGAACATCCCAAATTTGGGGGAATTCTGTGGGGTTGATGGAGAAAATCCCAAATTTGGGGGAATTCCGTGGGGTTGATGGAGAAAATCCCAAATTTGGGGGAATTCCGTGGGGTTGATGGAGAACATCCCAAATTTGGGGGGAATTCCATGGGGTTGATGGAGAACATCCCAAATTTGGGGGAATTCCGTGGGATTGATGGAGAACATCCCAAATTTGGGGGAATTCCATGGGTTTTGGGGGGAACATCCCAAATTTGGGGGGAATTCCATGGGATTGATGGAGAACATCCCAAATTTGGGGGAATTTTGTGGGGTTGATGGAGAAAATCCCAAATTTGGGGGAATTCCATGGGTTTTGGGGAGAACATCCCAAATTTGGGGGAATTCCGTGGGGTTGATGGAGAAAATCCCAAATTTGGGGGAATTCCGTGGGTTTTGGGGGGAACATCCCAAATTTGGGGGGAATTCCGTGGGGTTGATGGAGAACATCCCAAATTTGGGGGGAATTCCGTGGGGTTGATGGAGAACATCCCAAATTTGGGGGAATTCCGTGGGTTTTGGGGGGGAACATCCCAAATTTGGGGGGAATTCCGTGGGGTTGATGGAGAAAATCCCAAATTTGGGTTTTGGGGTTTTGGGGAACATCCCAAATTTGGGGGGAATTCCATTGGATTTTGTGAACCCCCAAATTTGGGGGAATTCCCATTGGATTCCTTGGAGAACATCCCAATTTGGGTGAATCCCTTGGGATTGATGGGGAATCTCCCCAGTTTGGGTCAAATCCCATTGGATTCCGTGGGATTGATGGAGAATCCCAAATTTGGGGGAATTCCTTGGGATTGATGGGAAAATCCCTCCCTCCCAATTTGGGGAATTCCCATTGGATTCTTGAGGAAATCCCAAATTTGGGGGAATCCCATTGGATTCTTGAGGAACTCCTCAATTTGGGTCGATTCCCATTGGATTCTTGATGAACCCCCGAATTTGGGTCGATTCCCATTGGATTCTTGAGGAACCCCCAATTTGGGTCGATTCCCATTGGATTCTTGAGGAACCCCCAATTTGGGTCGATTCCCATTGGATCCTTGAGGAACCCCCAATTTGGGTCGATTCCCATTGGATTCTTGAGGAACGCCCAATTTGGGTTGATTCCCATTGGATTCTTGAGGAACACCCAATTTGGGTCGATTCCCATTGGATTCTTGAGGAACGCCCAATTTGGGTCGATTCCCATTGGATCCTTGAGGAACGCCCAATTTGGGTCGATTCCCATTGGATCCTTGAGGAACGCCCAATTTGGGTCGAATCCCTTTGGATTCTTGAAGAACCCCCAACTTGGGTCGATTCCCTTTGGGTTCTTGAGGAACACCCGATTTGGGTCAAATCCCATTGGATTCTTGAGGAACTCCCAATTTGGGTCGATTCCCATTGGATCCTTGAGGAACCCCAAATTTGGGTCGATTCCCTTTGGATTCTTGAGTAATGCCCAATTTGGGTCGATTCCCATTGGATCCTTGAGGAACCCCCAATTTGGGTCGAATCCCATTGGATTCTTGAGCAACGCCCAATTTGGGTCAAATCCCATTGGATTCTTGAGGAACCCCCAACTTGGGTCAAATCCCATTGGATTCTTGCGGAACCCCCAGTTTGGGTTGATTCCCTTTGGATTGTTGAGTAATGCCCAATTTGGGTCGATTCCCTTTGGATTCTTGCGGAACCCCCAATTTGGGTTGATTCCCTTTGGATTGTTGAGTAATACCCAATTTGGGTCGATTCCCTTTGGATTCTTGAGTAATGCCCAATTTGGGTCGATTCCCATTGGATCCTTGAGGAACACCCAATTTGGGTCGATTCCCATTGGATCCTTGAGGAACGCCCAATTTGGTTCGAATCCTTTGGGATCGCTGCCGAACCCGCCCCAACTTTAGGCTGATTTCCCAGCTTTTTGGGGTCTTTTTCTCCAGGTGGAGAAGCCGAAGGCGAGCAGGGACAGCCGGAAGCCACCCAACTGCAGCCTTCGGGAAGCTCCGGGGATGGGGGGGTCGATCCCGACCTCCGGCGCCAGTTGGGCCTGATCCTGCAAACGGCCGGCAGGAGCCAGGTGGAGAAGATGCTGCGGGAGCTGGTGCGGGAGCAGGGACAGGCCGGGAAGCGCCGGAGCCGGAAGAAGGCCACCAAGGATGGAGGTAATGGGGTGGGGTGGGGGGGACGGGACACACACACACACATACACACCAACCCATAGAGCTGCATGGTCCCATAGAGCTTCTTCACCTCCCCATAGACCTCCTCCATGGCTACATGGACCTCCATCTGTTTCCCCATAGACCTCATCTATGGCCCCATAGACCTCATCCATGGCCCCATAGACCTCATCCATGGCCCCCATAGACCTTTTCCATGGCCCCATAGACCTTTTCCATGGCCCAGAGACCTCCATGGTCCCATAGACCTTTTCCATGGCCCCATAGACCTCATCCATGGCCCCATAGACCTCCTCCATGGACCCATAGACCTCTTCAGTGTCCCCACGGACCGTTTCCATGTCCCCATAGACCTTTTCCATGTCCCCATGGACCTCCCCAGAGACCTCCTCCATGGCCCCATAGACCTCCATGGCCCCATAGACCTTTTCCATGGCCCCATAGACCTCATCTATGGCCCCATAGACCTCATCAATATCCCCACAGACCTCCTCCATGGTCCCATAGACCTCCTCCATGGCCCCATAGACCTTTTCCATGGCCTAATAGACCTCATCTATGGCCCCATAGACCTCTTCCATGGCCCCATAGACCTCCTCCATGGTCCCATAGACCTCCATGGCCCCATGGACCTCATCCGTGTCCCCATAGACCTCCCACATGGCCCCATAGACCTCCTCCATGGCCCCATAGACCTCCTCCATGGCCCCATAGACCTCCTCCATGGCCCCATAGACCTCCTCCATGGCCCCATAGACCTCCATGGCCCCATGGACCTCCTCCATGTCCCCATAGACCTCCTCCATGGCCCCATAGACCTCCATGGCCCCATAGACCTTTTCCATGGCCCCATAGATATGGACCTCCATCCATGGCCTCCATGGCCCCTAATAGACCTCATCTATGGCCCCATAGACCTCATCCATGGCCCAAGTAGACCTCCCACATGGCCCCATAGACCTCCTCCATGGTCCCATAGACCTCCCCATGGCCCCATAGACCTCCATCCATGGACCTCATCAATATCCCCATAGACCTCCTCCATGGTCCCATAGACCTCCATGGCCCCATGGACCTCATCCGTGTCCCCATAGACCTCCCACATGGCCCCATAGACCTCCTCCATGGCCCCATAGACCTCCTCCATGGCCCCATAGACCTCTTCGGTGTCCCCATGGATCGTTTCCATGTCCCCATAGACCTCCCACATGGCCCCATAGACCTCCTCCATGGTCCCATAGACCTCCATGGCCCCATGGACCTCATCCGTGTCCCCATAGACCTCCCACATGGTCCCATAGACCTCCTCCATGGCCCCATAGACCTCCTCCATGGCCCCATAGACCTCCATGGCCCCATCGACCTTTTCCATGGCCTAATAGACCTCATCTATGGCCCCATAGACCTCATCCATGGCCCCATAGACCTCCTCCATGGTCCCATAGACCTCCATGGCCCCATGGACCTCATCCGTGTCCCCATAGACCTCCCATATGGCCCCATAGACCTCATCCATGGCCCAAGTAGACCTCCCACATGGCCCCATAGACCTCCTCATGGCCCCACAGCCTCCCTGCCTTTCCCCCTGCAGGCCCTGGCAGCGGCACCGAGGACCCGGCCTCGGAAGATGCCCCCCAACCCCAAAACCAAGCGGAGCCCCTCGACCCGCCCCCCGGCGGCGCCCCACCGAGCGCGTGCTCCGAGTGCGGGCCGCGGTGCCGGCGTTGTTCGCGGTGCGGGCGGCGGCGGCGTCGGCGCTGCGGCGAGGGCGAGCGGGACAAACCCCACCGCTGCGGCGACTGCGGCAAAGGCTTCAGCCGCGGCTCCAACCTGGCCCAGCACCGGCGCATCCACACCGGCGAACGGCCCCACCGCTGCGGCGACTGCGGCAAAGGCTTCATCCAACGCTCCGACCTGGAGCGGCACCGGCGCGTCCATACCGGCGAGCGGCCCTACGCCTGCGCCGACTGCGGCAAGCGCTTCAGCGTCAGCTCCCATTTGGATCGCCATCGCCAAACGCACGCCAACGGGGCCCCTCCGCCCCGGCTCTCGCCGGAGACGCCGCCGGCTCTCCCGCACCGTTGTCCCGAGTGCGGGAAGAGCTTTGCCCAACGCTCCGCCTTGGCCAAGCACCGCAAGACCCACAGCGGCGAGCGGCCGCACCGCTGCGGCGACTGCGGCAAGAGCTTCAGCCGCGGCTCCAACCTCACCCAACACCGGCGCATCCACACGGGAGAGCGGCCCTTTGCCTGCGGCGACTGCGGCAAAGGCTTCATCCAACGCTCCGACTTGGAACGGCACCAACGCGTCCATACCGGCGAGCGGCCCTACGCCTGCCCGGAGTGCGGCAAGAGCTTCAGCGTCAGCTCCCACTTGGATCGGCACCGCAAGATCCACGCCGCCGAACGCGCTTGCTACCGTTGCCCCCAACACCTCGACACCTTCTTGGCCGCCCATCGCCACGGCCGCCTCTTCCAGTGCTCCCAGTGCGGGCGTTGCTTCAGCCAAGGCGCTGCCTTGCTCAAGCACCAACGGTGCCACGGCGGAGGCGCGGCGCAAGCGTCCAAGTGTCCGGATTGCGGCAAGAACCGCGCCGGCGGCGGTGCCGCCTTGAGGCCGCGCGCTCAACAGTGCTTGGATTGCGGGTTGGAAGCGGGCGACGACGCGGCGGTGGCGGCGGTGACGACGACGCCGACGCCGCCGGAGAAGCCCTACAAGTGTGGGGAGTGCGGGAAGGGCTTCGGGCAACGCTCGGCGCTGGTCAAGCACCGCCGCATCCATACGGGCGAGAAGCCGTACGCCTGCGGCGACTGCGGCAAGGGCTTCATCCAGAAGTCGGATCTCACCATCCACCGCCGGATGCACACGGGGGAGAAGCCCTACAAGTGTGGGGAGTGCGGGAAGTGCTTCAGCGTCTCCTCCAACCTCCTCACCCATCAACGGACCCACTTGGGCGAGAAGCCCTACCAGTGCTCCGAGTGCGGCAAGAGCTTCATCCAACGCTCCGAGCTCACCATCCACCAGCGCGTCCACACCGGCGAGAAGCCCTACAAGTGTGGGGCGTGCGGGAAGTGCTTCAGCCGCAGCTCCCACCTCAACCGCCACCAACGCACCCACAACGGGGACAAGGCCAAAGCCAACGCCGCCGACGCCGCCAACGCCGCCTTCTCCGGCCCCTTTGCGCCCGTCCCGGCGCTGCCGCCCTTCCCCGGCGCGGTGCCGGCCTTGGAGCTGCCCTGGGCCCTGCCCTTCCCTGCCCGCGCCTTCCCCCAGCCCTGCTTCCCCCCGCCTCCAGCCCCGGGGGCTCAGGCCTCGTCCCTCAGCAACTGAGCCCGGCCCCGGCGCCAGCCCCACGGCTCCGGGGGGGGGGGGGGGGGGGGATGTGGGGCCAAGCAAGAGCCGGCGTTGGGATGGGCCCAGCCGGAGCTGGAGGGTGGCGCTTGAGGGGGCTGGGAGAGGATGGGGAAGGAGCCTTCGGGCTATGGGGCCAAGCTCACTCAGCACCCAACTGGGGTTGGCCAACGAGAGGTGTCATTGGGCTTGTTCCACTCAAGACCCAACTGGGGTTGGCCAACGAGAGGTGTCATTGGGCTTGTTCCACTCAAGACCCAACTGGGGTTGGCCAACAAGAGGCACCATTGGGCTTGTTCCATTCATTCAACTGGGGTTGGCCAACAAGAGGCGTCATTGGGCTTGTTCCACTCAAGACCCAACTGGGGTTGGCCAACGAGAGGTGTCATTGGGCTTGTTCCACTCAAGACCCAACTGGGGTTGACCAACGAGAGGTGTCATTGGGCTTGTTCCACTCAACGCCCAACTGGGGTTGGCCAACAAGAGGCGTCATTGGGCTTGTTCCACTCAAGACCCAGCTGGGGTTGGCCAACAAGAGGCGTCATTGGGCTTGTTCCATTCACTCAACTGGGGTTGGCCAACAAGAGGCGTCATTGGGCTTGTTCCACTCAAGACCCAACTGGGGTTGCCCAGCAAGACCCATCCTTGGGGGCTTGTTCCCCATTGGAACCCTTAAGTCTTGGTGACTAATTATGGGATGGCGACCCTTCCCTTCTGTTTTTTGCCCCCCTCTTTTTAACCAAATCCCGTGTTTTTACAGCAGGAATGTTCTCCTTTGCCCCATCCCAAGGTCCTCCTGGAAGAGAAGGGGTGGCGTCCATCACACCCCCACACCCCCCCCATTTGCTTTTGGGGTGGGGGGAAGCCCAGAAATCCCATTTCCCACTAAATTAAGGTGATTTTAAGGCTGGTTTCCCACTTCCTCCCTCTTTCCAGGTGGGATCCAAGGCAGGAAGTGGCCAAAAAATAGGGGGATTTTGGGGTTTTCCCCCCATTTTTCCACTGGAGTTTGTTCCTTGGAGCAGGACATGTTTGGGGTGGGGGTCCCATGGGGTGAAGATGGGGGGGGGAGTGGGTTACCATTGTCATGTGTCTTCTTGGTGGGGTTTGGGCCCAAAAAAAGGGGGGTGCTGCTGCTCTTCAAGTGCCATTTTTGGGGGGAAAAAGCCCCATTTGGGGTCATTGGCACTGCCAGCGAGGCGTCCGGGAGGAAAGCCCGGCCTATCCCGCACGGAGCAGAGCCAATGGGGGGGCTCTTCCCAGCATTCCCATGGGAAAGGGAGCCAACCTGGAGCTGGTTTCAGCTTCCTTTTTATGGATTTGGGGGGGGGGGGTGGTTTTGGGGTCATTTTTGGTACTTTTGGTGACTTTGGATCCCCCCGCCTTGGCTTTTGAGCCCTTCAATAAAGAGCTGGGGTGAAGCCGGGGTCTTTTGCTCCTTCCCTATGTGGGGTTTAAGCCCCATTCCCAAGAGCAGGCATCTCCCAAAGGGGGGGGGAATGGGGTGACCCCCATCCTCAGAATTGGGGTGGAAAACCCCATTTTGGGCTATGTCAAGGAGGGCAATGGCATGAATGGGGGTAAAGGAGGGGTTTGGGGTACACAAGGACCCCCCCCAATGGGGGAACAAGCACGCAGTGACCCAACAGCATCATAAATAGCCTTCATTATTAAATATCCCATTAAATAACCCCCCCAATTAAATAAATCTGCATAAATTAACATAAATACAATAAATTAAAAGAGGTGGGGATGAGGTGAGCCAAGAGCACCCATGGGTGCTAAAGGCAGCCCCCCCCCCCCCTTCAAAGAGGGTGTGTGTGGGGGGGGGAGAGGTAGGGGTAACCCATGGGTGCTAAATGCCTCTCTTTGAGTGCACAGGAAGGGGTATGGGGGGGTCCAGCCCTGAGGCCACGGTGATGGGCACCCCCCAATGTCGTGTCCCCCCCCTTATGTGCACAGGAAGGGGTATCAGGGGGGTCCAGCACTGAGGCCACGGTGATGGGCACACCCCAATGTCGTGTGTCCCCCCCCTTAGGTGCACAGGAAGGGGTATCGGGGGGGTCCAGCCCTGAGGCCACGGTGATGGGTGCCCCCCAGTGTCGTGTCCCCCCCCTTATGTGCACAGGAAGGGGTATCAGGGGGGTCCAGCCTTGAGGCCACGGTGATGGGCACCCCCCAATGTCGTGTCCCCCCCCTTAGGTGCACAGGAAGGGGTATCAGGGGGGTCCAGCCCTGAGGCCACGGTGATGGCCCCCCCAATGTCATTTCCCCCCCCCTTATAGGCACAGCTTGTGCACCAATGGGTGCTGGATGAGAGTCTCAGGTGCCACCGTCAATGGGCAGCAACGCAGTCAGTGGGGTGCAGGTGGGTCGCCAGCAGCAAACGGGGGCAGAAAGCCCCCCTAAAGGGTGCCATGGGTGCCAGTGTCCCATTGGGTGTCCCAGGAGGTCCTATGGGTGCTGCTCCCGCCGTGCCCGGGCTGGATGGAACCACGTCGGGGGTCCCCTCCCCAGGGGTGCTGTACACTTGGGCGCTCACCACGGCCAACAGCAGCAGCAGGAGCTTCTTGGCACCGTTCGGCTCTTCCATAGGGCAGGGGCGCCGAATCTGTGGGGTGGGGGGGAAAAGAAGGGGGTGAGAAGTGATAAATACCCCCCCCGGGGGCAAATAAATCCTTCCCCCCATCACTGTGGGGTAAAGAGCTCTCCCTATGGGGTCAATAGGGTTTAATAACCCCATGGTCAGGCATAGGGAAGGCATGCAAGGGCAAAGGTGCTTAGGGTCAGAAGGGGAAGTGGGGTTATACCCCCCCTCCGTGGGGTAAATAACTGCCCCCCCCCGGGGTAAATAGTCCCTCTATGGGGTGAATAGACACCCGATGGGGTCAAGAGGCGCCCTATGGGGTAAACAGCTCTATGGGGTCAATAGACACCCTCCTTGGGGTAAATAGACCCCCCCCAAGGGGTAAATAACTGCCCTCTATGGGGTCAAGAAACCCTCTATGGGGTAAACAGACTCCTCCGTGGGCCAAATAGACACCCTATGGGGTAAACAGGTTCCCTATAGGGTAAATAGGCCCTTTCCTTGGGGTAAATAGACCCTCTATGGGGCAAATAACTGCCCCCCTGGGGTAAACAGGCCCTCTATAGGGTAAATACACCTCTCTATGGGGCAAACAGACCCCCTATGGGGTAAATACGCCTCTCTATGGGGCAAACAGACCCTCTATGGGGTAAATACGCCTCTCTATGGGGCAAATAGACCCCCTATGGGGTAAATACACCTCTCTATGGGGCAAACAGACCCTCTATGGGGTAAATACGCCTCTCTATGGGGCAAATAGACCCCCTATGGGGTAAATACGCCTCTCTATGGGGCAAACAGACCCCCTATGGGGTAAATACGCCTCTCTATGGGGCAAACAGACCCCCTATGGGGTAAATAGGCCTCTCTATGGGGCAAATAGACCCCCTATGGGGTAAATACGCCTCTCTATGGGACAAATAGACCCTCTATGGGGCAAATAGGCCCCCTATGGCGTAAATACACCTCTCTATGGGGCAAATAGACCCCCTATGGGGCAAATACGCCTCACTATGGGGCAAATAGAGCCTCCATGGGGTAAATACGCCCCTCTATGGGGCAAACAGACCCTCTATGGGGTAAATACGCCTCTCTATGGGGCAAACAGACCCCCTATGGGGTAAATACGCCTCTCTATGGGGCAAACAGACCCCCTATGGGGCAAATACGCCTATGGGGCAAATAGACCCCCATGGGGTAAATACGCCCCTCTATGGGGCAAATACGCCTCTCT